ATGCCCTCGGGATCGTAAAATTCCAAATCGGGGATGCGGCCCACGTACTGTTGATGGTCGGGGGTATTGAACAAATGGGGAAAGAAGCCCTTCTTTAATTCGGTCAAATTGAAGGTGCTGGGAAAAGAGGCCAGCGGCATGGGCAAGAAACACAACGAGTCAATGAATTTGACAGCTCCGCTCCTGAAGGACAACGCTTTCGCGCCCACGGTCAGTTGATCCACCACTTCGCGTTGTTGCTGGTACAGTTCATGCAAAATGAACATGCCGTCAAAACCTTTCAAGTTGTGAAACACCACGAGAATGTTCCGCTCACTCTCGCTGTCCGGGACCTCGGTGAGATCATCCAAATCGCGCAAAAATTGTAGGGCACAGTCTTCCCCGTCCAACACATGAATGGTGGTTTCTTCACTAGACGAATAACACAACAAATTGGCCACAAACACGCCTTCCGCATTCTGCATGGCTTCAAAATCTGCATAACCAAACAGGGGAGGGGGTGGCGCCACCATGCCACCTCCCCCCTCCTCTGTTGGTTCAGACTCTTCTTCCTCATTCTCTACCACGGGTTGAATGTAACACTTGTGGTCCTGGATGGGCACCCATTTGTGACAGACGGGACACTTGGCATACCCGCACTGGTGACGTTTGTTAGGGACGACCGTGTACTGGGCTTGACACTTGAGACATGTTTTGATGGATTGACATTGCTGGCTGACCACATGATGATGCATACAATGGTCACCGTAAAACTTGCGGTGACATAAGGGGCAATACTCCGTGGGGCGGGTGCCACGCACATAATCCTGACAATCAAAGCGCCCACAAGCACGACAGCGTCTCCCTTGACAAGTGTGACTGGTCCGATCGTTGGTGTTGAACCCTCGTTCACAGTCCAGGCAATAATAGGAGCGGTTGACAAAAGCAGGAAAGGACGTGCAACCATCAAAATGATCGTTGGATTTGAGTAAACGTATCGGATGAGGAGCGTCAGGTCCTTTGAAGATCAGAAAAAACGGTTTCATGCGGGTCATCACCAGCAATTGATAGTGAGGCCCCAACGCCTGTTGAAATTGACGCGGCTCGGGTAAACCACAGGGACCCTCCGCGACTCCCGCTTGCTGATGGAGTACCTGGGCTTGACGTTGCTGCACAGGACGGCCACGTTTAAGATTGTCCCAGTCGCGAAACCCGTCCACGCCTTGATCTTTATGGCAATGGGCTCGCATGGTGACGATAGCGCGAGCACAACATAGGGCATCTCTGTTTCGGATGGGGATGATGCATTTCTTTTTCTTATTGTCTCGATCCAGGCATAGACGTCCCACATTGCGTTGTTTATGTCGACCGGACCCTGGACCGGGCATGGAGACAAACACCACATCCACTTGGAACCCACGATCGGGGTTGAAGGCTTCATTGCTATTCAACTTGCCAGCCAGGGTGGCCAACATCTCATCCAAACGAGCCGTAGGTTGTAAAAACTCCCCCACCGTAAAATTGGCTGTTTGATAAGCGTGGGTGAACCCATGAGCCGTGATGGCAAAATTGACAAAATGATGGGCGGGTCGCTGCTCGCGGCCGAGTTCCGTTTCAATGGCTTGGTGTAACGCTTCGGTCAAAGCCATGCCAATATTATCCCCAGGGACAGGATCCCGCAATTGCCGTAATTGCGCATTGAATTGGGCGCGTTCCACCATATCACGCCAGCGGCGTCGTCGACCCATGGGTTGCATGGTGAATTGAAAGAGAGGGCCACGGGCGGCAGCCCCTCCCAACTGTTCCCACCGGTCATAGGCGCGATCCAATAGAGCATCCCCCTCGTCATCGTCACTGAAATGATACTCCTCCGCCATGACGGCGGAAAAACAATTTGAAATTCCCGCGCTGGACGTGGACTTTTATAGACCCCGACACGTGATCCCTCACCTCTCTCCCCAGTCCCCCTCTACTTTTTATCGCTTTCTTTACTTCGCACCGCTCTCCACTATCTGAACGCTTGGAACAGGCGATCACGCACTGGGATTGGTGGACAAGGCTCAGGTGAGAGTCAGGTGAGGGGGTTGATCGACAGGAGGAAGATCAGGGGTGGTCCCCCCCATGGGTACAGAGTCCTTCCATCTCCTCTGGGCCTGGACCGAGATCGGTGATTGGTGGAGGGGACCTTAGATAAAATCCATCGTCCAGAACAGACGTCAGTTGCGTTCGAGATGCCCAACAAAAATCCAGAGAAAGCGAAACAGTTGAAGCACGAGTGGTACATGAGAAACAAAGAGAGATTGTTACAACAGAAACGTGATAAGCGGGCGGCCCAGAAAAGGTTGAAACCACCCCGTCCACCTAAACCAGCTCCCACGCCAGAACAGAAAGCGCAAGCCCGAGAGTTCAACCGACTGGCCTGCCAGCGATATCGAGCCAAAAACGCGGCCAATGTACGCTGCTTGAATCGGGACTACTATCAACGGAACCGCGAGCAGATTGTGCAGCGGCAGCGGGACCGTCGTGCCAAAAATCGACAGATCAGAGAGAGTCCATTCCGAAAGTTACGGGCGTTGGCGGACGTGTGTGCTGCCCGATTGCTGGAAGTGGAGCATGGATACGCCCGGATCGAGCCAAGGAACCAAGACTAAGCGGGACCCCGAGAAAAACAAACGGAACCAAAAACTGTATCGGCAACGACAATATGCGTCCTTCAACGGGATCGAGGAGGTGAGGGCCCTCAACCGTCGGCGTTACTGCGAACGCATGGCGCGCATGAAAGCCAACGGGAAGTACGAGGCTTTCAAGGCCAAAAAGACCCAGGAGAGTATGCGACGCTACCGTGCCATGTCGGAGGAGCAGCGGAGTGAGGTGAAACGCAAGAACGCGCAATGCCAAAGGAACTGGATGCAGAAAATGAAGGAGGAGGGGACTTACGAGGCCTACAAACACCGGTTGAATGAACGGCGGCGCGCGTTGCAAGCAGAGAAAAAGCGAGTCTTGGGCGAGGAGGGGTGGAAAGCCTTGCAGAAACAAAAGTACGAGCAACGGGTGGAATCGATTCGGCGTCAACGCTGGCAATGGTTAGACGAGCAATTAGAGCGTCCCTTTCCCCTCCCGTGGTTGCCGTTAGAATAGGCTGAGTCCGAGCCTGAGGAGGAGGATACTGTACAAACCCTTCGTACATACGCATTGCAGCAAATGGACCACTACTTGTAAGAACAAGAAATGAGTTTATTAAAATAAGTGTTGTGACAATTCAACCATGTTGTCTTTTTTTATGACTGTGTTAATGTTAAGTATTCACATGCCCAATCTCAGTTTGGTTTTCATGATGCGTCTGACAATACGCTCCGTCAGGATTTTGCGGCCAGGGAGTTGATCAATCTTGGCAATCATCTTGCGATCCGCCACCCATTTATCTTTCAACGTCTTGGCTTTATCATAGTCCATGTCATGCACTTTCGCAATCCTGTCTAACCGGTTGATGCCAGGATCCCCACGGGCGAATCTTTTTTTTAAATGGGTCCCAGGTCCCATGTACTGATAGCCGGGCCAATGAAATTCAATGCCCGTCTTGTTGAGGAAGTTTTGCACATCAAATAACTTGCCCCCGCGTTGCGATCGTCGTTGTCGCCTCGGTCGGGCACGGGAGGCAGCAGCAGCACGGCGTCTCCGTCCCATCACGGGGTTTTCCACGTTTTCCACTCCAACGCTTTCTTGGCCAGACTTTCGGCTTTCTTTGCGGCGGCGTCGGTCGCTTTTTTGCGAATCCCGCGNAGTTGATCAATCTTGGCAATCATCTTGCGATCCGCCACCCATTTATCTTTCAACGTCTTGGCTTTATCATAGTCCATGTCATGCACTTTCGCAATCCTGTCTAACCGGTTGATGCCAGGATCCCCACGGGCGAATCTTTTTTTTAAATGGGTCCCAGGTCCCATGTACTGATAGCCGGGCCAATGAAATTCAATGCCCGTCTTGTTGAGGAAGTTTTGCACATCAAATAACTTGCCCCCGCGTTGCGATCGTCGTTGTCGCCTCGGTCGGGCACGGGAGGCAGCAGCAGCACGGCGTCTCCGTCCCATCACGGGGTTTTCCACGTTTTCCACTCCAACGCTTTCTTGGCCAGACTTTCGGCTTTCTTTGCGGCGGCGTCGGTCGCTTTTTTGCGAATCCCGCGCTTGACCGCTTTCTTGATCGATTCCACACGTTCACGGGGTGTATCCCACGGTTCTGCACCGTACGTGTCTGAAAAAGGCAACTCTTGCGCCAACTCCGCGCTGCTCGGTTGAGGCGTAAACTTAAGTTTCTTTTTGGCACTGGGGGTGATGTTCGGTTTAGGCGGGACTGGTGGTTTTCTTGGTCCTGCAGGCGTGGATCCTTGTTTTATACCCTGGGTCGCCTTGACCAATTGCGTAAACCACGCTTGCATAGGCCCCGCCTCAAACTCATCATCGCCCGGGGTCGTGGCCCCTGCTGCGCTCACACCACCGGCCGGGGCCCCAAACGGTTGGCGCAATTTTTGGTCCAATGGCGTAACTGACGGCTCACGGCTTTGAGTTGAGGCCGTTTCCAGGCATCGGGGACATCACTGGTCAGGAGCACATGTTGTTGGGCAGCCAAATCAGCGGCTTTGGTCAAGCGGCTGTCTTCCACCAATTCTTGTTTGTACTTCTCTTTTAATTGTAAAAAAGCAGGGGCGTTGTCCACCGTGGTGCTCACCATCTCGGGTTCCATGGTGCAACTGAGGTGTCTTGTCTAGCGCATGCAACGTTTATAACATCGGTAGAGTTCAGGCCAGAGGGCGCCGCCTTTTTGAGCCATCATGATGGCGCGCCGTCGTTTCACCGAATGCGCGGGTTTGGCCATAGCGCGTAAACTCTGGGCGTGGGGTTTGAGCAACGTGATGGTGTGTCGGGAGCGGGGCACCGTGCCACGGAGAGTGTTCATCACCAATTCACTGATGGCATTGATCTGATCCGCATTCGCCATCCACAACAATTCTCGTTATTTATGTTGATTGGCTTCTTGTAAGACGCTCTTCAAGAACGGGGCTTGACGTTCCATGCGCCACGCCATGCTTAAGGTTGAGGAATTGCCACGACCCAGCTCTATTTATGGTAAATTGGGTCCCACACTGGCGACACAGTTCCCCATGATAATGCTGTTGCATATGACGTCGACATCGCTGACACAACGCGGCCTCGATCTCCTCAGTCCACTCTAACGAAAACGTAATGGCCTTGCGAGGTGATCTAGTCCGGTCGACGAAGACGGATCCTGGGTTTGTATTTCCTGAGCCACAAAGGCGAGAGAGCCATTGCCAACAGCGGTAGCCTACCTCCGCGTTGCAGACCGCGTCGACGACGTCGTTTTCGGGGGACATAACGATGTCGGCGTCCATTGGGTCCACGGACCATCGTCCAACTAACTCCTGTTCAGGCCCACAAAGGTCTTTTTATAGGTTTTCATTACATGATGGAACAATTAAACGATTCCCCCGCATAGCGTTTCCGTTTGCCTGATGCCACGTCTCGTCGGCGTTTGTCGGCAATTTTGATGGCACGCTTGGTTTGATGCTCCCCGATGGCTTTGGTGGCCTTATAACCGGCTTTGCCAATCCCCACAATGAGACCCGGCGAGACACCCTCCCCCACTTGACCCCTTCGTCGTTTGGCGGGTCGGCGACGCCGAGTCGTGGTTCGTCGGCGTTTGCGTTGGGGTCCCATGACAGTTCTAAGCGCTGACCACCGCGAGTCTCTTTTATACATGTCACATCAAGCTGCAATCAGGTCTTTTGGTATACCCCTTGTTTCTCGCCCAGGTTCGATACGACTCGGGATAGGGATGTGTTAAGAGATTGTATCTAGGTAACAGATGGATTGTGTCTTAGTTACGTTACTCTAGAGTTCTGAAGTACATATCTGTTTCTGTAGGGGCATGAGCTCTTTTTTACAAATGATGATGAACTTTTCATAAAGACAAAGATTACATTTTTTGCTAATGTTGTTATAGGGTACATATATACGTGCATACTTGTATTCTTGGTAGAATGTATTTCGTAGAATGCTCAATTCATTAAATTGAAGAGCATTGACTATTAACTTGTAGTAATCATAGATTAATGAGTGCATTTGAATTTTCTTAGCTTCATATTAGCTTTTGTGTTGTCAAGCATTATTTCGAGTGGAAGAGATCATGAATTAAAATAAACATTCTTTTCTTAAAAAGTGCTCTTCACATAAACGGCTTCCAAATATCTCACTCATTAACTCTTTACTCTTAACATATCTTGCTCTCCCTCAAGCATGGTCGATAAAAATGTAAAGTAGATAGTAAAAAGTTCTATGTTGCTAAAAAGATAAACATGTCACTACAAACTTCGAAAAAATGGTAGCCTTGAAGATTAAAAAGTCGTGGCTTTTTGCGTGACACAACTTGAAGTGAAAACAATGATCATAGGAGCGACAGAAACGTATTAGGTTTTTGCTAGATTACTGATGTCAGAGAACTGGACAGAATCTTTTGCCATAGTGCAGACTTTTCATCTCATGATTATTTTAAGTTCATGTAGATCACTCAGTTCAACATGTTTTAAACTTAGCTTGCTTCAGCGACTGAGATACTTATCATGCAAAATGGCCCGCGTAGATATATTAGACGTGAATACAGCATTACAGTTGTAACAACCTGCACTGATGCGTGGATAAAATTCTTCAAGCTTGCTTTATCCCAGAATATTATTTTTTCGGGCATGTGAGAGGTTAAACTACAAATGTGTAAATCGACTCAAACCCACGGGTAAACTTCTCACGGCACATGTTACCTGGTCTCTATGTGTGTGTTTCTACGAAGTTCCATCTCGATTTGAACGGCATTGACCGAAAAAGTTGTAGCAGAATCATCAGCTCAGTGATAAAACCTGCTTAGAAAACAACTCCAAAGTTTATTCTTTTGCCGAACTCAAATATTTCCCTGTAATCATCTTGTTGACCTTGATGGAACCAGAGTGATACATGTGATTGCTATTTGTGCTTATGACAATTGCTTGTGACGTAAATAACTCGAGCTAAATGATTCAAAATGGCGCAGAAAATGCAGACAAACAACGAAACGCGCTTGCTGAAAAGGTCACCCTTGAGTGCCACAGGAAACCCAACTGAGTACCATAGGAGATGCATGATTATGTGTTGTGTTCGATGTCAATAACTTCAGAGGAGTTCAGGCTTCAGGTGTAAATAATCGATCGTTTTTTTGCGACGGTGCTGTTTCGTAAGGTCCGAAATTATAAGACCACATTCATCAGGCGACTTGAATGATTGACCATTAAAATTAAAAGCTGGCAGTAAAATTTGGGTGGTTGTTTTAGGGATGCGTTAAAAGATTGTATCTAGGTAACAGATGGATTGTGTCTTAGTTACATTACTCTAAAGTTCTGAAGTCATACTTGCTTCTGTGGGGGCATGAACTTGCTAGTTCATTTCGCCTGTTTAGGCCACAAAGCTCTTTTTTACAAATGATGATGAATTTTTCATAAAGACAAAGATTACATTTTTTGCTAATGTTGCTATAGGGTTTACATTTCTTTAAAACTTTCCAATTTATCTGGAAAGGTTTCTTAGAGTCTTGTAAAGCCCAAATATAACTGGAGAGTTCTGTTTCATTTCTTCTGTTTGAGGATCGAAAGGAGGACTGATGATTTCTGTAACATTTTGCCAGTCCAACGTAAGTTTCAGTTGTTTTTGCTGTGGTTACAGTGGCTTTGTAGATGACATTGGATTGGAGGCATTTTTCTTTGAGTGAACAATCTGGTTTTTTTCTGCAATTACAGGTGTCAGGTTGTTGTGTTGGCGAGTTGAAATTTGAAAGAACGTACTTGTTGCGTGATGAGATGACAGATTTCATGTTAGGCATGCATGAGTAGCTCAGTTTTAGTGTGGGTCTGTTAAAAATCTTGTGGAGTGGGTGGTTTTTTGGAAAGCATTTGTTGATGATGTGCAGAAATTTAGTTAGTTCTGATGTTTGAGTTGAAAGGAGGGTTGTAACGTGTGATGTTTCTTGTTCATTTCCTTTTGTTTTTCGCAGCTTGATCTTGTGGGGGGTTGTATGTGGTCGTATCCACTTTCTGTTAGAGCTTTCTGGTAAGGGGCAATGGATCGGTCAAATACTTCTTTGCTGGATGAGATGCTACTTAACCTTTTGTTAATGTTGAGTGGGATATTTTTTAGTAGTGCTGGGGGTTGGTTGCTCTGTTGGTGGACATACGACAGTTTGTTATCAGGCTTCATAAATGGCTTGTTGCACCCGTTTGTGAGGTTGAAGGTCACATAAAGAAAGTTGATGATCTTTTTGTTAGCTTCGATTGTGATTTTAAGGCCATTCAATTTGAACACTTGGCAGACTCCTTATTTGGTTTTTTTCAATTTCTTTTGGAGTGGCCTTGTCACAGGCCAACTTCATTTTTGAATTTTCGTGCTATCAAGGACAAAATGTAGGCTCCTATTAACTCGCACATTTCTGCTCTGTCGTAAGAGCCCACGGTGACATCAAACATTTCGTTTGCGTTCTTCGTGGTGTAAGGAGAATTTGGGTGGTAAAGAAGTGACTTTTTCGTGTGGGTGATGATTTGGCGGTCTTGTTGGGTGATGGTGGTGAATCGTGAGGCATAGTTTAATGCTTTCAGTAATAGATCTTCAGATATGGATGGGTAAAAATTGCAGACATCAAAGGTCTTCAAAGGTCTGTCGTATGTCCACCAATAGAGCAACCACCCCCCGGAATAGTTTAATAAGAGTCAGAAGGTCATACACTGTTAAAAACGAAATGGTGTTAACGATTTCAATGCTTTGTTAATCATAATATTATAATTATATCCATGGAATTATCATAAGAATTTAATCGACTTGTAACAAATGAAGCTTCTGTAACACTCATAGTGTAACCAATTATAAGCTGTGAGAAGCATTTTCCACAGGACAGGAAACGTTCCCATATCGGATTAACTCTATATTTCTAATAAACACTACGAACTTCTTTGCCTCAATGAAAACAGTCATCAAAGTCTTGTTTTGACTCTTCTGAAAACGATAACTTACTTTCCACATTTCCAAGCCTTCCATGTTTGAACAAGAGGATAAAAGGGGGCAATGTGCACACTTTCTAGTACTACTTCAAAATCTTACCGTTTTCAGAGGGTACTGTAAAAAGTCGTATACGGGCTTGTGCTTTTCTATGAGAAGACAGTGTGGCGTCAAACTTTGTGTCCAAAAAAGCTTAGACTGTAAACTGCATTTTAATAGTACGGTTCTGTTTTTCCATTGTTTATTTTCCTGCTAAAAAAAGCAAATCACCTTGTACACAATCTTGGGCAAAACTGTTGAGAAAATTGCACACTTGGAGAGCATTTTTTGAAGCATGGTAGTTGTACTGATT